GGCAGCTCGGAGAGACTGTAGAGGAGACGTTTGAAGCTGGATTTGGATCCAAAAAGATTATGTTTGGCATAAAAGCAACACAGCACATCATCCAGAACATTCCATCCCCACTGTCAAACATGGTGGTGGCAGCATCATGGTTTGGGCCTGCTTTTAGTCAGCAGGAACAGGGAAGACGGATGGAGCTAAACACAGGAGCATTCTGTATTAAGGTCTACATGGGCTGGGTCCTTAGGAAGGCAACATTGCCATACATGTATTTCTGGTACAGACTGACTGAGCTGGCAGTGCCCTCTGCTGTATGAACAAGGGTACTGCCCACAAGTCACGCATCAATTATACCTGTGTGACATTTGGAGCACAAGTGAAAAGGAAGGTGTAATTTGTAAAGTTGAATTTCTGACTCACAGCTGAAGATTCATGTAGTTACATTCACTGGTCTTCCCAGAACACTATTTGTGAAATTGTAGTCAAGAAATAAAAGAGGTGTAGCTTTTTTTTTGTAGTTGTGACACATAATCCATGGTCTGTCATCTCCTCCACTCAGTCAGTTTATAAAGATCAGGAACACACCGACTGTGAGGTGAGGGTCAACACAGGAGACTGTGTTGTCAAAGAGCTTTTGCAGCTCAGGAGTGAAACTCTTTCCCTCAACATCAGAGAACTTACAACGTTCACTCTTTTCAAAAAGCATATTAACAAACCAAGCTGCCACTTGGGTCTATATATATATATATATATATATATATATATATATATGTGTATGTATACTGGTCAAAAAAATCAAAGGAACACTTTGAAAACACATCAGATCTCAATGGGGCAAAAAATCATGCTGTTTATTTCTACTGACATGGTGGACTGGGTGATGTGTTAGGAACCAAAGGATGCCACATCATTTGATGGAAATGAAAATTATTATCCTGCAGAGGGCTGAATTCAAAGACACCCCAAAAATTACAGTGAAATGATGCAGCAGGCTAGTCCATTTTGCTGAAATTTCATTGCAGCAACTCAAAATGGTATTCAGTCATTTGTATGGCCTCCATGTGAGTGTATGTTTGCCTGACAACGTTGGGGTATGCTCCTAATGAGACGATGGATGGCGTCCTGGGGTATCTCCTCCCAGATCTGGACCAGGGC